TTATAAAAGAACAACTCACAGTTAGTGTCAGCCTGACCCTAGAGTGTGAACAAAGCATTGCTGTGCCAACAATAATTTATATGTGTGCATGGGAATAGTTTTATAATAAATATTCCAGGATGCCAGAGCCTTGTCATTTTAAGGTATAAATACTACCTCAGTTGTTACCCCTAGTTTGGAATTTGCTGTTTGTGAATATCCACTGCTTTTTTGTCAAAAGCATGGCTAACTGACATCTCGAGTTCTTCTTGTTAATTTCTCAGTGTAGAAAAAATGTATTCAGTAAAAATTGATGGGTGTATTCCTGACTGGCATCTAGTAGTGGCTCCAGGTACGAATTATAAACCCATTTGAGATATACTGGTACTACAAAGTTATGGAAAGGAATGTATTCCAATGAGAAAAGTTTGCAAAGTAGAATAGAACTGTGCTCATTCTGTAGACCAGTCACCATTAATGAAATTATTTTATTAAGTGAGACAAAAGTGAAACAAATCCAGGTTGATTTTCATGCTTTTTTTTTTTTCCAGCTGACCTTAACTTTAGTAGTCATAAGTTTGTTACTACATGGCATCATTAGCTTTGAGTGTTTAGTGTTTTTATTGAATAACAAGTTCAAACTGTTGAAATTTGGTTGAAAACTGTCCTAAAATTGACCAAAAACCACTCAGTACAAATGTATTTCGCTTCTTTTTGTACACGTGATGACCAAAACCATGAAGATTTCTAAAAACAGTCAGTTACTTAACAAGACATTTGGAAGAAAAAAAAAAAAACAATTTGGCACTTACGTATTGAGACTTGTCAAGTGATGCAATGCTAACTGTTTTTAAGTTGTCCACCAGGGCCGAGTCAAAGTCCTGCAATCCCGCACTTGTATAAACAACTTTGTCCTTTACGAAGATGCTGACTGCCCGTAACATGAAGGAAACAAACAGGTGCATGTGGATGTAGTTTCTGGTGCAGTGAAGACGCCTGCAACATAAGTAAATAAACCCAAATATCAGTGTAACAGTGACAGCAGAATCAAGAAAAATTAATCCAAACTAGCCGCATCTTTGCAAAGAGCTGAAATCGTTAAAAAAATGCAAGTTTGCAATGTTGCACTTTCAATTCGCAACATTATTTTAGTTAAATTCCACTTTTGCATACTGTATGAACACTGAATATCTAATTGCCAGTTCCAGCTGAGTGATTTCATCACATTTTATAGCCTTTTTGCTCTTTTCTTTCTCTCTTTCAGCTACAAGGACTGGATAACACGCTGTATCCATCTTTAGCTAGATTAAGATCCAACTCTGCTCTAACAAAACAGAGATATTGATGGAAAAGGATCAATAGAGTTCAGACAAATGATGACTCCTCAGCTTATTGTTGTCAGTGAAAAGAACCCCCAGGATTCAGCAAAGTCTGTCCTGAAAACCACCAGCTTAACAAGAACTATAACAAGACTTTAGGCTCTTCCAGTATAAGGTAAAGTAGCAGTGAGGAAATCGTCAGGGACTTTGTAGCCCCTTCGTTAGAGGGATACAGCTCGAACTTTGATACATTGATGTGCTTGCAGATTTTATTTTATTTTTTATAACTGAAGCCAGCATAGCACCTCTGCACAGTCAACATCGCCCTGTTTGTGTGAGATATGAAGTCTGTTTTGTTGCTCTGTGACTGCAGAAGTGAAGTATCAGTGACTGGCAGCCTTTTTATTCTAACCAGTGCCAGGTCTGCAGCAGCTGCAGCTTGGAATTAGTTTTAAAGGACACAGCAACCGCCACATCAATGAGCGGCACACTTGTCATCGTCAGGGTTGAGGATGACGGTTTTTACAACGATTCACTCACACGTGCGGTTATTATTTTATTGCTAATTGGTAATGAAGAGCTAGTTGCCGTGCAGCAAAATACACTGTAAGAGTATTTGTTCTAACTAAATAATCGTTTCATTTTTTTTAAATAACTGTACTACACATTTAGGGCAGGATTAATAAGGGGTGTCTTGTTTACTTTTGTGGCTAATTAACATAGTTTTTCAAATGCACAAATTGCATTGCTGATTATTTCAAGGTTTCTTTATTGTCATTCGCATCATATGTGGTACATGAGGTGGAACAAAAGTGTGTACACAGGGTCCCAGTTACATCCAACAAAAGTATAAGTTGTAAAAGAAAAAAGACAGTAATAAGATCTAAGATAAGAACTAAGAAATACGCTAAACTAAGCACTAGTAGAAAAACAATACGCTGAGCAACAGCAGCACAAGCATGAGTCTCTGTGAGCAGATGAGTACAATGAATATAGCGGCATGAAGCAAATCAGCAGCATGAGATCAGCAGCATGAATAGTCAGCAGCGCATAGCAAAAATCAAGTGACATTACAATGATTTTATGTGCATGTTCACTTCGGGTTTTTAGTCACATAACTTTTTTAAGCTTTAATGTGAAATCTAAAGTCAGAAAAACAACAGAATTATCATCTGAAATTTGTCCTCCGTTGCAGAGACAAAGAGGAGTATTGGAAATATCCTCCAGCCCTCGATGCATGTTGTGAGCACAATAACTTTTGAACATTTAGTAAGGTATTGACCTCCATTTTGGTGTGTTGCTGCATCTAGGCATAATAAATGTTTCTTTACAAAAATGGTGTTGCCAGGCCAAAATTCAAGATGGCTGCCATCATAGATACATGTGTAATGTAAACCTTGTGAGCTGAATAACTTGAAAAATAAGTATTACTTTTCAAGATGTTATCATGTTCGGTGGTTTAGTTGAACCCAAGGTGCAGACAGACCCTGGGAGCTCAGGAATAAATTTTTTAAAGTAATTTATTAAGAAAATAAAAGGCTTAGTCGAACAAGGAGACACTGAGGAAAACAGAGCTGTGAGGAGCTCAGCACAATCCATGGACAGGGAGGAAAAACAAAGACCTGAACTTAAAGGGACACTAATGAGACACAATGATGAACACCTGGGGTGATTGGGATTGGGAACAGGTGAAGCAGGAGCTGGCAACATGAGGGACAAAACACCGAGGAAGACAGGAAACAAGAACTAAAGAAATGACACAAGACAACAGATTCTCACAGATGTTTGCTGATGTTAATTTGAATTTTCAGCTTCTAATTTTGTAAGAATGTGCCATGTTCACCAGGACTTCCTTGAAAATGCTGAAAAGTTCATTACAAGGGACTTCCTGTTTAGCTTAAATGTAAATAAATACATTTATGAGATTTTGGTGTATTTATAGTAGCTCTGTTGCCTTTACAATGTTACAGTGTCACATTGAGAAACTTGGGCTTCACTGGATTCTTTAAAGGTCCACAAGACTTTTGTTGACTCATTTGGGTTTAAAAAAAATAAATGCGCTGATACTTTTTTAATTAAACACTAATACATTATAAGTATCTTCTAAAACAAGAGACCAGAATTAAATAGCAACAAATTATGTGAGGTCAGTGGAGATCAAAGATTTGTAAGATGCTTATTAAGTCAAAATATTAGATGTAAGACCTTTATTTGTCAAAAAGCTCCTTGATGCTTCTTTGAAATTATAGCTGATGATCATGCAGATAATATGCTTTGTTGTCTCTGATCATGTTGCTTGCTTTCTTCTCTAAAGGTGTACACATACAATTTATATTTTTTTTATTTTATTTTCTCCAGTCACATCTGAAAATGCATCTTAAAAAGAATTATAAGAATTCACTAAAATGTAGAAATGAACACTTTTGGAGATGAATCATAAAGAAGAATAAAAGAAAAATGGCTCTAATATACCAACTTTCCTGGTGGCCGTATTAGTTGTGATTTAAATGTTTGGTTTTTATATTAAAAAAAACAGAATTTCAAAATTTTATATGGATTTTAAGATGCAGAAAAGTTGTTTTATGGTTCTGTTTTATTACTCGTGTTTGTTTCTATTAGGAGAATAACGTGCTGTGTCAGTCAGCGTTTGACTTCAGTGATTTTTTTGATTTCTTGTATAATTTTGAGTGTTGTTATTAAATTCCACTATTGCTTTTTTTTTGGGGGGGGGGGGGGGGGGAATCCATCAATGAGTTGCTTTGGCTTATACTGTAAGTCGCAGGGCATGTAAATTATGCAAAAAGGTAGGACTTATAGACCAGAAAATACAATACGATCTTTAACAATTACCTTGGAATAAAACTCTCATGTACATCAGAATTTTAACGTATTTTTTTTTTATATGCATGGAATGCAAAGATACGCATTTCTTTAAAATCAAGTTCTTGTTGGAAAACTATTTTAAAATAACATTATTTGATGCAAGTTCTGAATTTTCCAAAGGATTGTGCAGCATTTAATGCCATAAGAAAATGAGTGCAATGGATAAAACATATGGAGTAAATTTGCTTCGTGCCAAGAAAATGTAAACTTCTTCCGTTCACTGAATCTTTCTCTGTTCACTGACGGTTGACAAGAATCAATAAAAAAAATATTTTTTTACAGAGTTCTTAAGGTCACAAGAGGCGTCAGGATTTTTTTTTTTTTTTAACAGCAGAGAAAATCAGCACAAGTCTAACATGACCAGATTGTCCCTTTTTCAGGCGGTTGTAGTTTTCTAAAAGCTGCTTTATGAAGAAAAGTGTGCTTTTGTGTTGTTGTTTGGTTTGATTCATTTTCAGCAGTGGCTTTTCTTTAAACATCTTTTCACAAAGAAACTCATTTTGCAGGGGACCACTTAAAGTAGTGCAACTGAAAGAGATGACATTGAATGCTGTAGAGCTTTTCAGCTTTGTCTTGTTTGATGTGCTTTTGTGAAACTGTTTTCTTTCTTTTTTTAGGTTTATTTGTGCTTGAGGGCTTTTTCATACAGTATTTATACTATGTGTTGATCTGTACTTATTTGTCTGTGGCTTTAATCAGAGATCTCTTTCATCTTTATTGTGCTGATTAATTAGTGGGGTTGTAGACTCTGCAGCCTCTCTCATCCGGAACATTAATAACAAAATGATGTGAAATTCACAGTAAACTGTGTGACTTTTATTTATTTTTATTTTTTTGCATTACCAGATTTTATTTTAAGTCTTGAAAGAAAAGAGGGTGAACTCATGATAATACCTCAGATAGGCTTGTGATTAAAGTAGCTCAAATCAAATACTTGTGGCTGCATCAGTACTTCAATATCACACATGTACAAACAAATTATCCCGACAACCTTTAGTTTTTCTTTTGTTAGGAGCATTGCCCTGAATACCAAAGTTCATGCTCAATAATCCAGATAAAAATCCAGCAATGTTCAGTCAGGTCATCTGGACAATTTCTTTTTTTGCTGAGATGTTTCTTCCTTCATCCAAAGGACTTATTTATTAACCTTTATTTAACCAGGCAAATCCCACTGATATCACAAATCTCTTTTGCAAGGGAGGCCTGGGCCTGAAGGCAGCCTAACATGCATGTTTTTTTTTGTTTGTTTGGTTTTTTTTTGGTCTGTGGGAGGTAACCGGAGTACCCGGAGAAAACCCATGCAAGCATGGGAAGAACATGCAAACTCCACACAGAAAGACCCCAGGTCCAACCGGAGATTGAACCCAGGACCTTCTTGCTGTAAGGCCACAGTGCTAACCACTGACCCAAACACCAAGACACCAAGCAAACTGAGTCCGACAAACAGCACACTCCATAATGGGAAAAAAACAGTTTGGCCAACCCTCTCCCCCATTAACTCCTCTGAGTGATTTTGACCTGGATAATTGAACATGAACTTTGGTGTTTTGAACCACATTGGTATGACTGTATCAAAGGAGTTGACGGGGGAGAGGGCGGACCCCGGAGGCCATCTTAGCACCAGCAAACTGTGTTTTCTCTACTAAAAATCCTGTTTGTGGAAATCAGTTTGCTTGGTTTCTCCTCAGATTGAAAAAGTCCTTTGGATGAAGGATGAAGCGTCTCAGAAACAAAGAAACCATCCAGATGACCTTACTGACCCCCCCTCACACACACATGACCCCCAGCTACTCAACAGCAAGTTTTAAACTAAAATATCTGACATGAAGAGATTAAACTAGAATCAACCTTGAGCTGTTTTTTGCAAAATGATGGGATTAAAAGGGATGTAAGTTACAGAAGTTTTACTCAAAATAAGATTCTTCACCAAAATAAGAGAAATTTTCTCTGGATTTGGATTTTTTTTTTATTTTTTTTTTTATGAAATGCAAAAGAAGAAACATTCTTAAAAAATATACATTTTAACTGGATTCTCTTATTGTCACTGGGCCCAGTTTAAATTATACAAATCACCCAAAACAAATAAGACAATCAAATGGGGCATGTGTAATTATGTGACCAAAAGCATTTTGTCCTCATCAGTACGATTCTGCATTTTCTGGATTTAGCTGAAATAAATGCCCTTTGTGCAAAAGAGTTACGGCCTTCTCAGCTGTTTTAAAAGCACAGGAACAAAAGCACGCGCTACAATAACATTTAGTGCTAAGAGTGAGTGACGCATGAACAGAAAAAGCAAACTGCCTGCTTGGAATCTCAAAATGTTTCAAAGGTCACACCGTTCTAGTTTCTCTTGCTTTTATTTCCAGTGCTTGGTTAAGACACGTACGAGCTCTGAGAGCAAACACGCACACAAACCAAACTTTTTGACAAAGTTTTGTTGGAAACTTTTAAAAACACCTGGTTTGACATCCGCTGTTAGACGTTGCTGTTTTTTTTTAAAGCTCTGCTACTGACACTTTACAGAACAGCATGTGACATTGTTACATTTAAACTGTCTTATTTTGGGGTGTGCAAACGAGAATGCACAATTATGGATGTCATGCAGATGTTGGTAGTTTAAAAACCTGTGCAGCAGCCTTGCTTTTATGATACCGAAATTGTAACAGTTGTTTTGCCCTAGTTATGCAGAAGCTTGTCTCGTACCTGAAGTATCCGATGATCATGATGGCCACAAGCAGAGAGCTGAAGGACACGGCGTAGCCAGTGGTGTACATGACGTACAACCGCTCAAAGAAGTCTTGCTGTGGACATACAGGAGAAACTATTTCAGAAACTACACTGGAATAAACAGCCCTGCATCTACAATGAACAATTTGCACTAACTCCTCTGCAAAGATGGAAAAGTGATGAAAGGGCAACTATTTCAGCTGCACAACACGAATCAGACATTTACTCACGAGCTGCCTAATGGAATATTAAGTGCTCCTGAACTTTGCAAAACTGCACTAAAAAGAGAAAAGACAAACATTTAATAGTTCAAAAGCTGATATTGTTTGCAAGAGTTGTGAAAAACATCTGTCAGAGTTGTTCCCTTTCAGCAAAGCATGGTGGTAGTAGCCTCGTAATATGGGCACTGTGGTGCGAAGCAGGAATTAACACCACTAAAACAATTATGTCTAGCTGAAGTGAGTTGTACTAACAGGGATCAAGTTTAATGTTTTTGTCTTTTTTTTTTAAAGAATAGACAATTTCTTGAGTAAGGGATTGCCAGACATTACTTTATTTGCCATTATCTTTATGATGAGAAGATTTTATTAAAAAAAAAAAAATATCAAAACAATATTTTCTCATCTATTTTTTAACTTTTCATGTGAATCACCAGCACAAACTAACAAGCCAAGAAGAGCTGTCTATAAGCATATAAGAGGAGCTGCAACAGGAAACTGAATGTTCAAGCAAATTAACAATAAAACACTTTTTTTTTTCCAGGAGTGGCCAAGTTTCAAAATAAAACGGTGTTGAGAAGAACAGTTGGACGCTGCAGCGTGAAGTGCTGATCGGTTGCCAAATGATGCTGGTGCAGGGATTATGACTCAAAATAAACTAGGTGTAATTTGTAATGCAAGCCTTACGTTGTTAAATATTAGACCAATCTGACTTTGATGCTACCTTTGGTTGTGTTTAACTCTTCTATGAAGAAAAACACAGCATGAATAAAGATTTGCTTTTCAGTGGAGTGAAACTACTAAATATGTATATACTTATACACAACAGCTTTTTGGAGGATTGCACACAGCTCCATCTGCATTGGTTAAATGCCCTTGAATCCTTCAGTTTGCAGACTGAAATGGATTAAGTGTCACCGTGTCCTACGTCAACTCTGGAGCTGCTTCCAAGGACAGTTACTCGAGTAGCATGAATGCAGCCAAAAGCAGAGAGGTCTTTGAACACAACACAAAACCAAAGTGGAGAAACACGACGTTGAGGCAAACTGCAAACACAACCGGAGTGAAATAACGCAAAGTGTTTGTTCTCAGGTGAACAACAAATCCTACGTGAAACAAATGCTTCCTTTCATATCTGCCAAAATAAATAAAAGGTTTTAAAAAAAAACAGCAAAGGAGAAGTAAATGAATTCTGAGTACAACTGAGCAAAGCCTGCATGGATTTATCCAAGAAGCTGGAATTGATAACAAAGTTGTTTTCTCAAAATGAAATAAAAAAGAATTCTGATCAGTTTTATTAACATTTTTGATTTACTAAGAAATCATCTTGATTCCTAAATGGGTAATTACTGAAAGCAAGTTGGAGAATAAAGTCAAATTCACCTTTTATAAAAGAAAAAGTCAAGTCAAAGCATGAACAGGTTGTTTGCTGACCTCTCAATCAGCCAGAACAAATATGCAGAAGCTGCTTGAACGCTACATGCGGACGAAAAACTAAAGAGGAAACATCCAGATGCATGCTCAATAATCCTAAAGAAAAAAACGAAAGAGGAAACGTTAAAAAAAAAAAAAAGTAGAAACGTCCTGGAACATTGTCATTTCTCCAAAAAGCACAATTCCAAATACACAAGAAAAAATAAAATGCATGCGTATCGTATGCTTGTGTACAAATGGGACGTTGTTTGCCAAGACAACGAGAATATCCGTTTTATTAAGTGCATAATAATGAAACTGTTTTGTTTACTGCTTGTCATGCAGCATCTAAGTGACCAAAACACCAGTTCACGCACCAGTGCTTCAGATTTCCCTGATAGACTCATCATAGCTCATCACAAATCATCAAGGTTTAATGACCAAACTGAGCCATGACGCCTGTTTACTTGTCTAAAAACGGAGACAGTAGCTGATTATTTATTTCATTCCTTTCGTTAGATGTTGATTAGAATGCAGCTTTTAGTTTCTAATGTTTGTGATGGTGCTGCTGTCTGATTAAAGGCCCTCTTCTGTATATTTATCTCTTTATCGCCCAGTTTGTTGTACTGTAGAGAAAAAGAGCACCGTTCGTTATCTGTGTGTGTCTATAAAACACAAAAAGACAAAACAGAGCAGATAGATACTATCTATGGTGAAAGGTCAGAAGCTTCGCACGCAAAAAACAAGACAAAAAACAAAAAAAAAAACAGGAGATGATGTCAGTGAAACCTGCTTTTGCATGGATGTTTCCCAGCTTTACTCACTCTTGCTTCCTCGTCGGTAAAAGGCTGAAGGAAGCGGAGACACTCTGAGTAGTTGGCCCACGTCTTGTTCCAGTTCTCCACAAATACCCAGGAACCGTTGACATCACACTTCCTGTAAGCATGTCCTGAAAAATCAAACGCTTGAATCACGTTGGAGCCTTCAAACCTTGAATTTGTGCACAATCTCTCATCTCATGATGTCAGGCTCGAGGTAAATGATAAATGGACTATAATTATACGCAGGGCCAGCCCAAGTCTCCATGGGGCCCTAAGTGAAATTTGGTTTGTGGCTCTCTATTTCTACAATCAACAGTCAGATGATCAGATCATTCACCCACCTAATATAAATCCATTGCAACTCTGACAGCCCTGTTCACATGTGTATATATCATAGGGTGTCAAACTCATTTTCATTTAGGGCCACATCAAGCTAATGAATGTCCTCAAAAGGCCGGACATGACTGAATTTATTGATAAAACTACATATTAACAAACTGGTAAAATGTAACTTTCTCTGCATTTGATGACTGCTTTGAGTAATTTGGCATAAAACTGATTTGATTTGACTGATAAAGTAATGTTGAAGCACAAAACTGTTATCGTGAAGTTCTGTTTCTGTGGCTTTCTTTGTAGAGAACCACAGAAATGGTTATGGCGGGCCGGATTTGGCCCACGGGCCTTGAGTTTGACGCATGCTATATTATTATAAAAAAAAGTATTATTAAAAAATATTATTGTAAAAAAAAAAAAAATCACAACTTTATAATAAAATTGTGTGTAATATAATCATAGAAATCATTACTAAAAAAATTCAGTTCCACTTAGGGGGCCCCCTAGTGGCCCCCGGACCCTAAGCAACCACTTAGTTTGCTTATGCCTTGGGCCGGCCCTGCTTATATAGCACCTTTCTATCTTATCAAGACACTCAAAGTACTTTACATTACAATCTGTCCTCATTTACCCATTGATACAACACTCTACTAGATCTCTACAAAGATTAACCAGAGCTTTATCACATTCATACACTGAGGGGACACACATCAGAGGTAATGAGGGGTTCAGTGTCTTGTCAGCATGTGACTGCTGATGGAATTGAACCCCCAACTCTTGCATTGGCGAACGACTGCTCTAACCACTCAGCCACAGGTTATGTGTTGTGAGTAACACTCAGCTACTACCACATCAAACTTGAGCTTAATCTCTAATGAGATGACTGAGTTGTAAACACTTTGTGTGTTGGCCAATGCTAATTACAGTAGCTGTGGTGTCCATTTTTAATCAGACTGACTCCAAAAGTTTATGACGTGGGGATGTGCACCCAATCATTGCCTCTGAAAGTTTTATTAAAATCTACCCAGTGCTTCGTGAGATATTTTGCTAACAAATAAACAAGATTGACTTTGACAGTTAATTCTAAAGTTAAAAGCAAAGGTCCTATGAAACTAGTAGCACTTGGAGGTTGTTTTTTTTTTTTTTTTGTAAATGACATTCAGCTATAAATACTCCAAATTTCAGCACAATATCTTTAAAAAAAAAACATCTAATTGACATTTCTATGTTCGGTCGGCTGTGGCGGCCATCTTAAATTGGGTTGGCTGCAAAAGTTAGTCAGATGTAGAGGTACGTCCAATCAGTATTTCCTGAAAGATTCATTAAATTCTGTTCAGTGGCTCATGAAATAAAGTATTTTACAAACAGAGATCGTGCTGTGGCGTAAACCCAATCTCGAGAAGGAAGAAACAACAGCAGTAGAGAAGATTTAGATGCCCCCCCATCAGTCTGAAATCTGTTATAGGATCATTGTTTTTACAGAAAGAATGGAAATCAATAGCAGACAGTGAGGAAGAATATTTTACAAGAATACATTCAAGATGTTTGCCGATATTCCCATTAGTAGTTCACCCAAGGTTGGATTGTTCTACACACAGAGATGCTGGAAAAACCCAATAAGCTCAATAAGCAAGCTAAATGTGACAGTTTGTGACAGTGCAGTCAATAGATATCTTATTTTTGAAAAGTTGCTAGGAAAAGGGGTCTTTTTGTTTAAAGTTGAGCTGACAGTGCAGAGTAACGCCATGCAGCCATTAGTCCTTGTCACACAGTTTGAGTTTGGGCCTGGGGCGCCTTCGTTGTGCACCGACACAACGTGAGGAAATCCGAAGGTGGAGCAAAAGGTCAAAGCTGATGCATATCAAAAGACGTGATATCATGCTTATGTGTGACGGCTGGAGGGGAAGCGCGCAACATGCTGCTCCTACCGTTAACTTACTGGTATGGTGACGTCAGAGTTCGGTGTTTAAACACAAACCAAGCTGCTTCTTTTTAGACATTCTGCGGAGTCTTAAGAAGAATGTCTTTCTTTTATGTGGAAAAAAAGGCTTGTTCAGAGAACCAAGAACTACTCTTTGTATCAAAGTGTTTTAAATATATTTTAGAGCAGTGGCACCCACTGTTAGAGTCACTGTGGGCCATGAAACTCTAAGTGGTGAGGTTTGAGAGGATCTACAAGAATCAGATTAACTTTAACATGCTTGCCACTGGTGTACTTCACCTTAACTGTTGCAACAAAAAAGGCATAAACAGAAGACAAACAATATAATGGGTAACAAATGGCATGGAAGCTTCACAGCTGGCGAGAGAAAAGCTCCGCAGAGAGTGGTGAAGGCTGCACGGAAGACTGGTGGAGTCAGCCTCCCCACCATCACAGACATCTACACCTCCAGAAGCTGGAAGAGGGCCACCTGCATCATGAAGGACCCCACTCACCCAGCACACACACTTTTTGCCCCACTCCCCTCAGGCACAAGGTTGTGGAGCACCAAGTGTAGAGCCTGAGGAACAGATTCTACCCTGAAGCTGTTAGACTCATTCATCCTTAACCAGAAATATCATTGTAGTAATAATAATAATAATAATAATATTAATAATAATGTGTTATGTATTGTCATCAATGTATGTTCCCATACATTAAAATAGGATCTCTGCTTTTAACCCATCCACCACCAGGTGGAGCAGTGGGCAGCTATGGAAAGTGCCCCGGGAGCAACTGGGAATAGGGTGTCCTGCTCAGAGACACCACAAGATGTACAATGGCTGGGGATCGAACCCGGGACCTTGGGGTCCCGAGTCAGCTGACCTGTCTCTACCCCATCTCGGCCCCTGTAATGCCACTTTAATTGGAGATTGGACACTTTGTGCTGCTGATTATCCATGCTGCTGATTTCTTACCCATAATCTGCTATATTCATACCCATCTGCTCACAACTGACTCATGTTCTGGCTGCTGTTTAATACACCATATTATATTACATTATTACTGTTTAGCATATATCTTATATTAGTGCAGCACGGTGGCGCAACTGGTAGAGCTGCTGCCTCTCAGCGAGCAGGTCCCCAGTTCAAATCCCAGTCCGGAGGCCTTTCTGGGTGGAGTTTGCATGTTCTCTCCGTGCATGCGTGGGTTTTCTCCGGGTTCTCCGGTTTCCTCCCACAGACCAAAAACATGCATGTTAGGCTGATTGGTAACTCTAAATTGTCCCCAAGTGTGAGTAAGAGAGTGAGTGGTTGTTTGTCTCGTTTGTCTCTATGTGTCCCTGTGATGGACTTGCGACCTGTCCAGGGTGTACCCCGCCCCTCGCATAGTAATTGCTGAACATGGGCACCGGCGACCCCCGTGACCCAAAAATGGAAGAAGCTGGTAAAGATAATGGATGGACGGATATATCTTAGATCCTTGTATACTGTTTCTTTTTTATACTTTATATTTTTACTATTTTTGGGTGTAACTGGGACCTTGAATACACAATTTTGTTCCACCTCATGTACCACATGTGATGCAAATTACAATAAGGTCACCTTGAATCTTGAACCTTGAAAGCTTTTTACAAAATGGCTTATTATCTATATTTGTATAATTTATTGACAACAGTTTAGATCACAAGTCATTGTGACTTTTGTTTTGAGAGGTCATGATCAAGGTCAAGGTTTCTTTATTGTCATTTGCATCATACATGTACACATGGTGGTGCATGTGGTGAATGATACTGTGTACACAAGGTCCCAGTTACACCCAATAATAATCCAATAATAAAGTCAAAAGCCAAAAGGTTTTAAAACTACTGATGTTTTAAAGTCAAATATGCTGTCATACATACACAACATTTTAAAAACATTAATGAAATCAAGTAACATTGCAAAGAAGTTATGATAGAAGATGATACCTTTAAGTTACTGACCCTGTAGGTTATTCTAATGAAATTATTGAAGCAGTATGATTAGCTTATTTCACACTGCTTCTGTATTTTTTTGAATATTTTCCTACTATAGACTGTTTGGAGCATGTGTTAACTGAGCAGCTTAAATTCATTGAAATAATTACATATTGAGTTGTTAGTGGTGCTTAAAACAAATTAAAGCTGTGAACCTTTGTGATTGAAGTCATAGATGTAAGATGGACAAGGGACATTTGTGACCTGTCCAGGGGAGCCTTGGGGCCAACAAATAAGACCGTCCCAGTCAGGAGGGCACACTTCATCTGCAGCAAAGAGAAGAAGAACAAGTCAGTTTTTAACAGAAATACAACAAAGCTTCTTTTTTTTCCCCCACTTTGATGAAAATCTGAAAAATCTATAAAAGCCCCAGGCAAAAACGGTACATTGTTCCCTCAAAGGAACCATTTTAAACAGGCTGTTAAAAAGTTCATCTCACTAACTCCAGCATTTACTGAAACTGTTTATTTTTGTGTGTTTGCAAGATACAGTACGTTTAATAAGATAAAAAGTGTCACAGAAGCTCTGATCAGACTCAAGATTAAATTATAAAAAAGGAAATAACTAAACAAATGAAACAATGGTCAGATGAAGCTAAAATTGAACTATTAGACCATAACAGAGAAATCCACAGGTGGTACAAACTCATTATTCCAACAACGTCGTCCCCACGGTGACTCTTGATGGAAACAGCATTAGGCTTGGGGGGAGTCTGTCATTAGCAGGGCTTGGGTAATTGCTCAGAACTGAAGGGGTGACTGGAAGGTGCAAAACACTGATAATGTTAGAGTCTACAGGGGAATTAAGAATGGTGCTTAAGACCCCAACTGGTTCAGTGTTGTTCTTTCAGCTGCTCCCTCTGCAGGAGTCGACTGTTTTATACCAGATGTTCTCCCTGACGCAAACTGGGCTCGAATACTCCACTCAACACGTAACTAATTTAAATGTGTTGGGATGAGCTAATCAAATCCAAGACATCAGACTAATTGAGAATTTGACTTAAATGGAATCCAACCATCTGGAAGGAGATGGAGTTGGTTTGTCTTGAGAAATTACCAAGAATCCCAGTGGTCAAATGTGCCAAGAATACACCAGGAGAAGCTGGAACGGCTGCAGCTTTACCAAGTAATAACTTTTGGGTTTGCATGGTTAGGTTTTCTGTTGTTTGGTTACAGTTTTTGTAAATTTCCATATTCAGTCACCAAATGGAAAAAACATAAATTTCACATGTAGAAAATCACATTTTTATCTGTGTGGACATGTTAATTTAACACTGTCACAATTTATTTATATCATTTTTACAACAATGGGCTCAAGAAATGACAGCTGGAGAAAATTTGCTTGGAAAAAATCTTTTTTTTATTGCCTGGATCTGTCTTTGAGAGGTATAACAATTATACTGAGCATCTTGGTAATTTCTCAGGCAGTGGTAGAAAAATATTGTCATTGACAACACATTGTCTTTACATACACATTATCAAAACGTTCCTTTCCTGTAACTCTAAGCATAGTTTTGCAGAAACAGTGTGGCATAAAACATTAAATTTTGTTCAAATTAAATAAGGATTTGTGTATTATTTGCAGTTTTCAGCCCCTGAAAAATGTGTAAAATGTGTAATTTTGCACACAGATAATGTTTGAAACATTTTCATCATATTCATGTGTATTTTCCACATTTCATCAAGTGCAAAATTTGGTAAATTCATGTGGTTTTTCTGTAGAATTTGCTTCATTTTTTTTTTTGTTGTAATGATTATTTTACATTTTTTGAAAACTGCAAAACAATGAGTACCTGCGATTGCCAGTTCCATGTTGGACAGGTTCTGAAAGCACTGCATTTTGACCTCATACAGGATGAACATCTGCTCCTGTGCAGACAGGGGACCACCAAACCCCATCTGCCGAGCACAACAGATAAGATCAGATCGGAGACGCTGTGTGTGTACAGTACCTGTGAAATAATTACACATTGCTTAAAATTTTAAAAGCATGGGAAGACTAAACATCTTCCATCTGCTCTGGGTAGATACTAAACCAGAGGAAATTGGAAGAAGCATGAATCCAGAGATAAAGTCAGAATAAAAAACATATCATTGTACAGTCTTTATTAAAACACTGATAGTGGTTCACACTTTTTGTGTGATTTAACTCCAAGTATTGCATGTTTCACTATAATACTGATAACTATGTTTTCATTTTTTTTTTCTTGTTTGAAAGTTTTTTTCGCTGTTCAGTTTGAAGCAAAGCTACATTTTCAAACATCCTGATCTGCAGTGTCTGCAGCAATATTCCACAGTGAGCAATGAATGCAACAGTTCCTCACAAGTGCTTGTGGATTTATCCTCATTGCAATACAGAACATGTCTGATGAATTATTTAGGTGGGCATTTTGCAGGCAGGATAAAGCCTAAACTTAGTGTAAATGTTGGGCTTCCCTCATTGTTTTCAGATTTAAACATGAGTCCTGCTTTGAAACTGTATGGTTCTTTGTGCTAAAGGCTAACATCAGTAGCTTTTTAGACATGTAAAGAAATGTTTCTACAGCTTAAATTAAATCATTACTACAACCCTTTGACCAACATTTTCTTATACTAGGAAACATGTCCCATAAAGTATGACGTATGTTCCACTTAGCCTGTGTGGTTGCACAAATTGTTGATTTAGGTTGGCTAATTGCAAAATTGCTAAATGTGCTAAATATGGTAAACACAAGCCTACATCTGGTTTTCTTACAATTAAGCTTCCACATTGTTTAGAAGTTCTGTTTAATGTACTTGTAGTTATATTTTTCATAATTGGGCAGATGTGGCTGAGTGGTTAGAGCAGTCGTCCTCCAATGGGAGAGTTGGGGGTTTGATTCCACCAGCAGTCACATGTTCAAGTGTCCCTGGGAAAGACACTGAACCCCTCATTATCTCTGATGTGTGTCCCATCGGTGTATGAATGTGATAAAGCGATGTGATTTCAGAGCAAACAATATATTTCAGAACAGCGGTGCCCTTTGAAGTCTATATTAGACTATAGTACATTTTGAAAATGTACTGCATGATTCCTAACAAACCCCTGGATGAGACCAGTTTGGAAGAAACTTCAAGATTTTTAATGGATTATAACACATTATAATCATATAATTCTGGTGTAGCATTATTGTGCAGGTGTTTCATCAAAAATCCATCCATCCATTCATTTATTCATTTTGGATCACTTTTATGAGGTCGGGTTGGATTGCATCCTGAGTATATCAGCTGGACAGCTCAGGCTGAGTGGTTTGGAGACATAATTTCAGGGGCAGAGGGTGAGATGGTTTGGACATTTGCAGAAGAGAAAGAGTGGACATATTGGACAGAGGATGTTGAATACAAAGCTGCTAGGAAGGAGGAAAACATAGGACCACAGAGAACGTTATTGGATAATTATCAGAAGGTCTTTGTTGTGGCAAGAAGGATGAAATGATGTAATAATGAGGCAGGTGATCTATTAGTGACCCATAAACAAAGCAGCCTGAAGAAGAAAAATAATCTGAGGTTGGGTTCAGAAGGGAAACGACAGACATTGTTCTCCTCGGCTAAACTTTTCTGCGCCTTCTGGCAGTTCCCAAAGTGTTCCCCAGTCCCGAAGGGGGATATAACAGCTACAGTTACTTCTAGGTCAATTCTGGAGTCCTCCCTGTGGGATGTGTGCAAAAATCATTCAAAGGGATACAGCCAGGCATTCTAATCAGATGCTCAAACCACATCTGACTCATTTTGATGCAGTGAAGGAGCTGCTGTGCTTCCAGTTCCCCTCAGATTAAGCAGCTCTTCACCTTATCTCTCAGGCTGGACCCACAAACCTCACCGAGGAACCTTGTTTCAGGTCACAGTCCATGTCCAAAAATGTTTTTGGTGCAATAAATCAGTGTGCAGTCCCTTGTCCTTCCTGTCACCCAGCTCACAATGCTCCCAACCTTGACTTCCCTCCCTACGAGTGATGGGTCAGTGTGGCTCAGTAGCTTTTGTTAGTCTGGGCCTCAGCCAAACCCCAGGAGCCAGTTCTTGATCATCAGGTGTTCACTGTGAAGTTCATCCTCCATGGATATAGCTTCAGAAGCATTAACTGTTTTTAAGCCTACCTAACCTGTTTTTGGTGGTATTGTGAATTACCAGGAGGCCAATCATGGGTTTACACCCTAAAGAGAACATAACTGGATTACTCTAATCCCTCCAGCAGATTAAAAGATCAATTAGTTCCAGGGGTATTCAACAATGAACACAGTAAAATTGAACGTTTTTTGAGTTAATACGTACATCCGATCAATGTTTCTCAAAATTGGGGAGAACAAATTAACCGAAAAGCATCAGATTTACATTTTGAGGTTTATATTAAAAACTTGTTTTCAATTTTAAACCAACTGTAACAAAAAAAAAGGATAATATATCCTCATCTGATCTAAACGTTTCAAGCTTAACCATTTTCTACAATTTATCTACGTGCAAGTGCTGAAAAACTGTGTTAAACTTATTTGTGTGGTGTAAGGTCAAATAAATTGCATCACTTTCTATTGTTCTCACTCCAGACTCATGTAATGCTGCTTTTTAATGTTAATCTACTAACTTTGAACCAAATTTAGCCTTGTTTCAATCAGAAACTCCATTTGCTAAAACTAAGCTAAATGACTGTCCTGACTTTTATATAGAATTGAACAAAATACTTTGTTCATGACACCAAAATGTCAATCTGCAGCCGAGTGAACAAAGCAGGATGCATGAAGGGGCTAAGCGTTCACTCCGCAGGGACCACAAATGTCACACCGTCACACCGAAATTTCATTGCCATCTATCCAGGAAATATAGCGACATTTCAGTTCAATGAAATCCCTGCAGACACTGACATTCTTAAAACTATTATTAATTAGCCTGAGAGGCTTTTAGGCATATACGATTTAATTGATTTTCTAAGTTTAATTACATCAATTGCTCTGTTTTTTAAAATGCTGGTATACAGCTCTTTACATTTTAAACTTTATTTTTAGATTTGCATGTTTCTGTAATATTGTAGAAAACAAATGAAGAACTACAGACTCTTAATTTATCTGCCCATGAATGAAGGATGTTTAAACATGTGGTTCATTGTGTCATCATTTTTTCCTAGTAAAGTTACATTTGCCTTTAATAAATTATTATTTTTTTTTTATTTTGTTTCTATTTTTCATTCAACCTTTATTTATACAGGTTAATCCCATTGAGCCTCGGGGACTCATTTACAAGAGAGACCTGATTTTAACAAAGAATGATGACAACAGTGGACAACAAAGACAACAATAGACATAAAGGATGCGTACAAATAAAAAAAAATTAACAAGTGAAAATAAAAATGGTAATTAAAAGGAAAAGTAGCAAAAAAAAAAACTGCTAGACTGTAAGGTGATGTAGAAAACTAAAAACAGGAACATGTCTGCATTGGTTCTTACCAGGAACTTAACCTCCTAGGACCTGGGGTCCACATATGCAAGAGTTTGGGTCTTAGGAGGTTAACAGATGTTTAAAGCCACTTAGAGAGGTCAAGGTCGAGAGCTTCAGATCTTTTTGCAAGATATTCCAGGAAACAGGGGCAGAGAAGGAGAAGGCCCTTTTGGCAAGTTCAGTCCGCACTGAGGGAACACTGCAGGTAATAATGTCCTGAGAGCGCACGCTGTAGCTGCACTCACACAGAGACATGTAGGAGGAGATGTATGAAGGCAACAGACCAAGAAGTGATTTAAAGATGAAAATGTACAGTGAGAGAGTCTGCATGACGTTAATGATGTCCAGTTAACCAGTGGAGACAGGGTGCAATGATGGTTACAGTAGTTACAGCCAGTTATGAATCTTAGCGCACCATGATAAACAGTGTCCAACATCTGCAGAGTGCTTGTAGGAGCATTCGTGTAAATAATCAGAGTCAGAGAGATTTATTATACACACCACATGTGATACATGAGGTGGGACGAAACTATGTACACAGGGTCCCATTTATATCCAACAAAAACACAAATTGTAAAGAAAAACAGTAGTAAGATTCGAGTCATGAACTAAGAATATACTACATTCACAAAACTAAGAATGCACTAAGCACTAATGGTACAAAAACAATGCAACAAAACAACAACAGCACGAACATGAGTTTGTATGAGCAGACTAATGAACACAACATGAAATAATCAGCAGCATGAGATCAGCATCATGGATAGTCAGTAGCACATATCAACAACCAAGTGGCACCACAGCGATTTTCACAGGTTTTTTTTTTTTTATGTCACCATAGTCAATGGAGGGAAGGAAAGTCACAGTTACAAGGGGTTTCCCAGCATTCAGAGTTAAACAGGATCTGTTTGTGAAAAAGAAACCCAGTTTAACTTTCAGTTTCATTACTAGGTTTTCCACGTGGAACTTAAAAGAGAGATGCGAGGAGACCTAGATACCCAAATATTTGTAGGAATCGACTAACTCAATAGGGACACCATTCGAAGATAAAATCAGAGGAAGAACTGCTGGGACTGACTTCCTGATTTAAAAAAAAATCCCTTTGGTTTTGTCTGCATTTAGGACAAGTTTGAGACGGAACAAATCTGACTGTATGATGTCGAAAGCGGATTACAAAAGCTGGAAAACCTTAGCAACTGTTTTAGCTCGGCAATAAACAACTGTATCGTCAGCATAGAAATGTACAGATGTAAGAATTCTATTACTTTATTCAAACTGTGTGAGTTCTGCTCTGCCAGCTCCTGCACACACAGCCAGACTCTAATCAGCCACACCTGCGGGTCTTCGACTTGATGAGCATGAGGAGCATAAAAGGCTGCAGAAGACATTCAGCCAACGCTGGAGCATTATCTGCCAATGGGAGTCTTGTTCTAGGGTTTGTCCTCGTGTCTAAAAAT